CAATATATTAAACGCAGGAAGTATGTAGCGTGTGAAGCACAAGATTCTGTTCTTGTATTCCTCTTAATAATATTAGGTTGGGGAAAAATAAATCTATTATTTTTGCATGAAAATGAAGACTTTATTTAACATGCTTCCGAATGCCCGATTTAGGTCAAATATGCACAATTTTAATGTATAATTTATTGCTATTTTAAAGGTAGCTTCATAATGCCTCTTTCATAGAAGTCCTGGCCTTTATTGGCGAAAAGTCCTAGTAATGGATTTTCACAATCTTCTCTTGATCCTAATTTCTTATCATTCAGGAAGATTTGCAATGCGAGAAAAAGGTGGTACTCATTTCGTTCCAGGTACGGACTATTTGGTAGATGCATTAAAACTTCCCAACCAAGCTCCCAGAGTTTCTGGCAAGTCACTACAGACGTGTGTGGCGTCGCGTTGTCCTGATGGAACACAGCACCTCTTCTGTTTGCCAATTCTGACCATTTCTGTTCAGTTGCTAGCTTCAAATGGTTCAGTTGTTGACAGTAGGGATCTTAATTTATTGTTTGCCCCTACGGAAGAAACGCATAATAAATTATTCCTTTTCAATCTCACCAAATAAACAGTAGAACCTTCCTGGATGTCAGTCCTGGTTTGGTCACCTTTTAAGCTGCTTCACCATGCTTTGATTACGATCGTTGTCGCACAATGTAGTCGTATGTGACCCATTTCTCATCCCCAGTCACCATCCGTTTAAAAAATGGGTCGTTTTCCTTCAATTTGGCCAGAGCTTTGCAGAAGGATGTTCGATTCATCATTTTTGTTGTTGATTGGTGTGGCACTCACACACACACACACACACACACACAAACATCAAGCTTCTTTTTAAATCCAACTTTGCTCAAATGGCTTAAAACTGTTTAATGGTCGATCTGTAGCTCCTGGGCGATGCTACGACTACCAAAATGCTGGTCAGCTTCGAATATTTCTGTGATTTTAACGAAATTTTTGATGACGGGCTAGCCTGTGTGAGGAGCAACTTTCACATCAAAAATGCCTGAACGTAATCGATGAAACCAAAATTGCACGTAATTAGCTGTTACAGTATTGAGACCATAAACACCATTTCCAATTTCAGCCACCTGGCTTGCATTTTAGCCTTTATCAAAGAAAAACTGTAAAAATAACCGAATTTTCTCTTTGTTGACTTCCATTTTTAACACCCTGTAACTCACAACTGAATGGACCAAACAAAAAAAATCAATTTTTTTTTTAGTGTGAAACATCATCTTGACAATGAACATACATTTGAAATTTTTTGATCGATACTTCACGAGATATCGACATTGAATACATCTACCGAAAAAAACGGACTTCTTTTTCTCCATTCTAATATATCAGCATCGGTACATCTCAGCAATTTGAGTTACTTCTCTTCTTTACTTTTAGTTTTAAAATAAAACAACTTTCTATAAGACAGAAACAGCTATCAGGATAATAGGGCTTCAAGGATCAGAGCCAAGTGCATTAAGGTCGGATTTTTGTTTATGGAGTATGTACTATAGACTTAAGATAAAATAAATTGGAACACTTTTCCTGCTTGTCCAATTTTCTGAAAAATATTATTAAGCTTTTTTGAAAGGGACCCCGAGACAAATTTAATATTATTTTACGCTTTCTTAAAGCGACGAAACTATATTTTATGATCCAATATTCTTCTAAATATCTTAGTAAAATATTTATGTTTACTCTAAGTCAAATGCAAGCTGCTTTACGTCAGTTAGGTGTCTAGAAAATTTCTGATGACCATGCTAGAATTTGCTAAAAATGATTTTAAATTCTATTTATGTTCTCATAAATAATAATGAGTAACTAATATTTTTCATTTGTAACTTAACATATACTTTTGTTTGTTTATTAATGATACGTAAATATATGATATATATATCTATCAATTTCTCTCTTCTTAGGCATTGTAGGTTTTAGAAATTTTCACTTGTTTTATACTATATATAGGAACACTGCTCAAAATAATTAAACGATATTGCGGTTTTAGGTGAATCTTGTGGCTGGAAAACTTCTTAGCTGATTGATACATATGTCGACAGACGTAGTAGGTTATATGAGAATAAATTACACATGTTTGGCAGAAAAAAATGCATTTTATTGCGCATTTGTATACAAAAGGAAAAAAACACAATTTGTGCATATGAGAAAAAAAGAATAAGAAAAGGTATTTTCTTCAAAGGAAATCATTTTCAGTAGGGGGTATGGTTTCCACGAACGGCCAGGAACGTTGAGCACCTTTGAGGCATGGAGTCAATGAGGCTATTAATTACGAGTTGGGGTATTCTGCCCCACTCTTCCAGAAGAGCTGTTTCCAGTTCTTGGAGAGTTTGTGGAGGTAGTTGGTGGCCAGCAACTCGTCTTCCTAGAGCGTCCCAAACGTGTTCCATTGGATTCATGTCTAAAGAACACGCTGGTCATTCCATTAGTACGATTCCTTCCTCGAAAAGGAAATCCTCCACCAGGTTAGCACGATGTGGCCTGCAGTTATCGTCCATTAAAATGAAGTCATCTCCGATTGCTGCAGCGTAAGTGACTACAATAGGTCTGAAGATCTCATCCCTATATCGGCGAGCAGTCAGAGGTCCATCTCGAATGATGTAGAGGTCTGTGCACCCGTCAATGGAGATGCCACCATACACCAACATTCCCCAACCGCCAAATCTGACACTTTCGTGCACGAACGCAGGATTATTCCTACTGCCACGGTCCCTCCAGATGAAAATACGCCTATTATCCAGATGAACAGAAAAACGAGACTCGTCAGAAAAAAGAACATTGTTCCATTCATTTCTCCCCCAGTTCACATGCTCTTTTATCCACTCCCTGCTGTCGCGACGATGCCTTGATGTTAGTCCAACACATACCATCGATCGGCGAGCATACAGACCTACACCATGGAGCCGGTTTCGGACAGTCTGAGTTGAAACAGTGGTGCCAGTAGCCGAGCGAAGGTGTTGTTGGAGAAGAGTAGCGTTCATATTTCGGTGTCTCCGAATCGTTTACACTAAATAACAATCTTCATTGGGCGTTGTTGCCCGTCTACGACCTTGTCTTGGTCTTCGGCCTGACTTGCAATCTCCAAAAAACGGTTCCAGGTCCTGGAAATCACACTTTGTAACACTCCAATGGCTTGCGCTACTTCGGCTTGAGTTCGGCCCCCTTCTAACCTACCAAGAACTCTCCAAGCTTCTTGAATCGGTTAAATGACTTTGCTGAGACATCGTACTCAGAGAAACAAAGCAGTCACAGAATGTCGATTATTCTTGTCTTCTTTTCAGTTGAAAATCAAATTTCATTCGCTGCCGCTGAAGCGACGTTTTTGACGTCGAACTCAAAATTAGCATACTCCACAGTTTGAAAATCAGAAAAATTTGCATTTGTGATTATCATCTTCCTTTTTCGACAAAGAAATTTCGTTTATATCTTTATTTTATATAAAACTTACAATATCCTTTAATTATTTTGAGCAGTATATATATATATATATATATATATATATATATATATATATATATATATATATATATATATATATATATATATATATATATGTGTGTGTGTATATATATATACATATATGTGTATATATATACATATATATATATATACATATATATATATATATGTATATATATATATGTATATATATATATATATATTTATATATATATATATATATATATATATATATGTGTGTATATATATATACATATATATATTACATATATATACATATATATATACATATATTATATTATATATATATACATTTATATATATATATTACATATATATATATCTATATATATACATATATATATACATATATGTATATATATATATATATATATATATATATATATACGTGTCAATTTATTTATATCTAGGTGGTTTTTTTAAAAAAATGGAAGAAAAGAAACGCACACACTTATCTTAATATGTATCTTATATACAAAAAAATAAAAATTTATAATTGTCATAATTTGGTTGAACTCAGAGCATTTTAAATCATATTAGATAGCTTCAAGCAGTCTGTAAAGGAATTGAAGAGATTTGGTACATTAAATCAACATTTTATTTGATAACGCAGAAAAAAAAACTCTCGCAAATATAAAAGAAGTACCAAGACACAAAATAAAACTTTATAATTTTTTGCATCCTTTTCCATATGAACATGGAGTTTAAGAATAAATTTAGTTTAAAATAAATCGATTGAGTCTTAGTAACTTAAAACTATCTAATATGATTTAAAAATGCTCTGAGTTCAACCAAATTGTGACAATTATAAATTATTATTTTTTTGTATATAAGATACATATTAAGATAAGTGTGTGCGTTTCTTTTCTTCTTTTTTTTAAAAAAAAACCACCTAGATATAAATATATTGACACGATATATATATATATATATATATATATATATTCAAGGAACTTATAATCCAAACAGTAACCACAAAATAAATTCAATCACAATTGACTGTGTATTCTCTTAGTCCTTCTCATTAAAATCTAAATCGGTTTTAATTTAGTTTCTGCAATTATTTTTTCTCTCTGACATCCTAGTACTTCATTTATTTTCATTTTTCCTTGCTGTTTTTCGAAATAAGTTCAAAAGTCAAATTTTTCTTCCATCAAATGTGTTTCGTTTTCACGAGCTACACACTTTATAATTAAAGCGAGTTGAAAGTAATTAAGTCAATTCTTACTTAGGTTATGAAAGAATAACTTTTTTAGTTATTTTTTAATAAATAATTACAATTAATATCAATATGTATATACACATGGCAGAATCCCTCTATTAAGTGGCAAAATGGAAATTTTCCATTTTCTTTCCTTTATATGGTCTTAGACTTTTTTTGTTTGTTTTTGTCACTATCTATTCATCAAGTAAATTTAATTATTCTGATAAAATAGTAGAGTAGTAAGAAATCACAGTCTCAAAAATTAGATCATCCCAGTTGGGATTTGAACCCACGCCCTTTGGATTAGAAGTCCAATGCGGTATCCACTCTGATACAGAGACTCAATGAACGGTTTTCCTTTCTGTATATGGTGGTATGCTATTATTATTGTTTGTATTAATTTTTTAAATTTAAATAATGAATAAATTTTTTAAATCTGTATTAACATCACAAGTGTCATCCACTACAAGTTTAAAAAAATGTATTTACACTTCAGTGGATGTATAAAATATATTTTGTTAACGATTGAAAATTTGAGCAAGATATATATATATATATATATATATATATATATATATTATATATATGAGAGTGTAAAATAATAGTAGGGATTGAATAACGTATCAATGTATCTAAAGTATTTTTTCCTTGTGCCCGAAACACTATTTTAGGAACGAAATGTAAATAATTATACATCCCACTTCTACTGTTCACGAAAAATAAAAACTAACGTAAGCTCAAAAAATAGGAAAAGAAAGAAAGAAAAATAAATTCTCGCAATGAATGTTAAAGCCAAAATTCTAACGTTTCTTTAACAAGAGCAATAAAATATCAAACATTAAAGAAACGTCTATCTTTTTTAAGAACACCTGCGTACTTAACTAATGAATAGCAGTCAAATACACGTGTTCTTGGAGGAAATAAGTCTACATTTTATTGAATCTGGATTACTAAAGTAAACAGTCTAACAGAATGAAATCATTATCTCACCATGAAATCTAAAAATCATCGCCACTTATCCAGGATTCTGTCTTATCTACACTCCAACTACTCAGAATCAAGATGTAATTATGATACATTATGTAACTAAAGCTTTTTACCGTTTTATATTAAGAGGTAAGATACATTTTGGTTTCTTTAAGACGTCTCATGACTCTTAAATTGCACATTTTTTAATTTTTCAAAAGAAATATATATACTAAAGCCTCAACAATTTTGAGCATTTTGATGCCAAAATTTTGTCCATATTGTGAAAACTTCTGAAGTTATTGAGAATTATAATGTGAAACTTATAAGCAAAAACCCTATCTTATCTTATCTTCATTTTTCTCAAAAAAAAAAAAAATTAGCTTGTGCAAAGGATTTCTCACAAACTATTTATGACATCAATTTGAAATTTGATACACGGGTTCAAATTAAGACTCTTCGTAACTTATACAACAATTTTAAAACAAGATTTTATTAGAAATTTTTAAATTTGATTTTTAATGATTTTTTTTTTAAATTTCAAGATTTTCGGTCTAATTGTATTTAAAAAGATTTAATTTTTTTCCCTCTATAGTTCTTAAAAGTTAGTATAATTTCAAAAATGATCATTTTTATACCAAGTTAAATTATTTTTGTATATTTTGATACATTTTGTACTTCATAATCTTGCGCGGGGTAAGATACTGATTTTCATACTTTTGAAAAATTGTCCCATTTATATTTTTTTATAACTTTTTAAATTTTTCTCAAATTCTCTGAAAATTTGAGAAACAATGTACATGTATATGACTATTTTGTGGTAAAAATTTCCAATTATTGTTTTGTTTTATTGCTAAGTTACATTGGTCTAAAGAACGATGGGTTTTTTTGTCGTACACGGATGTGTGTTAAGGGTTCTGAGACGCTTTAAGGTATTCGAATAAGTTTGGAACCTTGATTTTGAAAGCATAAACAAACGAATATTGTTTTAAATATTTAGTTTCGCTTAAATTAGAATGCATGTTTAAAATTATTTTAAGAATATTATTACACTAAAATTATTTAAATGCAATATTTTGCAAATATAAATTTACAATTATCTATTTTCAAAACATTCTTCTGTCTTAAAAATGCTTCTATAATAATAATATTTTTCCTTTATATAGCTAAGGCTTACCCAGAGAACCTGAACTAGGATTTTTCAAAAATTCACAATATTTTCAGAGTTACTACCAATTGATATAATAATCGGTGTTTTTTTTCTAAACATTTTTCACTCTATTGCATTTTTTAAAATCCCTAGTTCAGGCTCTTTACAGAGGTCTGAGCTATATATAGGCAAACTATTATTATTATAGAAGCTTTTTTATAAAACAAGAATGTTTTGAAAGTAAGTAAATTTATGTTATTTTTTTTGAAATCTACCTATTTAAATAATTTTTTTTGTAATAATATTTTGAGTACAATTTTATGCGAACATTCTAATCTAAGTGACACTAAGTATTAAAAAAATTCGTTTGCACGCCTCTGCTAAATCATGGTTTCGAACGTATTCGGGATACCCTAAGCGTAGTAATGCAATCCTGTGCCGAAAATTTCAAATTAAATCATACAACATCAATAAGAGTTTTGGATTACTTCTTATACTTTTCGATCTTCTGGCAATCGTTAGAAGCAAGCATGCATTTTATTTCTGAAATAATGTTTGATCTTCAAAAAGCAATTCCGTCTTTCTTATTCAGCAATACATCGTGTAATATGTTCCACTGTTGGCAGAAACGAGTATTTTATTCAAAATTTTCCATATAGCCCCGTATTTATCGATTTTGATAACAAATAACGAGGTAAAGATCGTTGAGACAGATCAGTGCCTGACAATTCTATCTTCGATTCCCAATTGCATTTGTCTGCTTGAAATGCAGATTCGAATGTTTAAGATGTAGAAAAGAAGTTGAAATTGATTATAAGAGCAGTATTTTGAACAAAAATATTCTACAGCATGCCTTTTGCGGAAAGAAATAGTTCCCTGTCAGTATGTTGCTTTTTACAAGAGATATTTTATAACCGGAAAAAATGGCAACAATGTGGTTTCTTTTGAAAATTCTTGTACAGGAATTGCACAAAATAAAACCTTCAAAGCAATAGTCTTAAAAAAAAGGAATTCTATAAAGTGATTTAGAAACAATAAAAAATGTCATTTTTTGCGGACGATTCCAAATTTTCAAATATATATTTAAGAAATAAAAGAGAGAAAAGAAAGAAAAGTAAAATAGTTTTAAATATTTTAAGATTAGTTTAAAAATACAATAATTCATTATAATAAAGAAAAGACAGCGCTACAAGATTTCCAACATAAAATGAGTTAGTTTCAGTGAGGCATTAACAGTCATTGTTGTATTTGGATAATATTTCCCAGTGAAATAGGTTTTGCTGAATTTAAGTTAATTTAAGGAGATAATTTATTTTAGATCAGATAAATCTATTCAGTATTATGACACAATTATAGAGAGTTATTGGGAAACTTTTTCATAACACTTCTTCAAATATTTCTAGTTTTCCAATATTTATTTTTATGGTAAACTAGCTGCATGGCCCGGCGTTGCACGGTCTTTCTCAATTTTTATACATTCTCCATTCCCTTCTTAAAATCAGCACTTCCAGTATTGTTTTTCAAAATTACTTCGTTATTTTTTCCCTCCGCTTAGCTAGGCGTTCCATGGACTTTTACCGAGTGTATAACTTAAAATTCCCTTTTTCGAATATTGTTCACTTCTTTTCATTGTCAGAAAGGTTTCTTTCCCCTCCAATTTCCCAAGGTGTTGCACGGATATTTTTGAATGTATAACATATTGTCATCGAAATTCCCCTTCTCTCGCTGTCAGCCTTTCTTGGTGTGTGTGTGAGATTTCGATATTAAAGTCATTACAAAATTCTCTTGGTAGTTTTCCTCAATAATTTTTACTTTTAAAATTTTGGCTACCACTGAAGACCCGGTATTATATAAGAGGACGATGCTCGCTGATTCTGTCGAGAGCTCAAACATCCTAACGTTGGTGTAGTGTGGTAGTTAGAAGTAATGTGTGCCAGCTCAGGCCTTATCCTAATCACTGGTCAAAGGTTCATAATTTCAAAGTCCGTCACCAAAAGCTCTCGAGTAGATGAACAGTGTGACTTTAATATACACTACTCACTTTGCAATTTTTTAGCCCCTGGATAGGAAAATGTACTTTTTTTTAAAACAATTGTGTGTTGAAAGAAAGACAAAAAAAGTAGAATTTTTTATATAATTACAAAATTCCATCACTATATTAATTGTTGAATTTTAATTGTGAACATTTTTTGAAATGCTCGAAACACGGGGAAAAAGTTTCTTGCAATTATCTATATAAATGAAGAAGTTATTATTGTTTGATTTAAAATTTGAGTATTTTTCAAAAACTCGTAAGAAAAAAAATCGATATTTTATTTTTTAATTACTAACTCTAAGACAGTGCTTCTCAAACTTTCAATACTGGCGCCCCCCTTATCAATCACAATTTTTATCGCGCCCCCCTTATACATTAATAATGTACTGAATGCAATAATAATGCACTTTTTTTTACGCTAAAGCAATAATCTTAATTATATACCGTACAAATTCATGACATAAGTATTAAATTTTGTATATGTTGCTTTTAAGCAAAAAAAATATTAAGTAAGATGATAATTATTATGTTATTTTTACTTTCTCTAATTTTTAAATTGGAACATATTGCAAAATGCGGTGGCTGCTTAGAAGACAAAATATAGATATCAGCTTTTTTTAGAAAGAACTCAGTGGGTCAATTTTTAATCATAAGCATTCCTTTGAAAAATTTGCTGTGTAAGACAAGCCCATGGAAGTCGCTAATACTTATTAAACTTGTTCTTAATTTAGCATCAATTAATTAGTTATAAAATACTCTGTGCAGCACTGATACATTAAAAGTATACCGGCTGAATTGCCCGCTCTTTGCACGAGTTCATTTATAAGAAAATAAAACATTATTGATATAATCGCCGAATTTTAAGGAGAGTAAAGTCAAATGCGCAACAATGTTTACTAAAATGTAAAATGATTTTTTTAAATCGTTGCTCAAATTATAATTAGTTTTAAGTGAACTGTAATTTTAAGCCTCACAGAATTAGCATTTAGAATTGATGTTGAATAATGAACAATAATATAAAATTCCGATGAAAAATAATTGTATTATTTTTAATATTTAAAGTGAAAAGACTTCAACATGTTTTAAACCTGGAGCAGGCACGCACTCGATACTAATGGTCGAGTGGGGTTATTGAGCCACCCCAATCTTTTTTTTTTTTTTTTTATAATTATTTTTTTTTATAATTATTT